CACTGCAGCAGGGGCTGCAGCCTACGCCATCGCCAGTGACTCACGGCAGCCCAGCTCCAGGTTGAGCTGTTGTTCAGCATCTTAGCTGTGGAGGGCAGCGTCACTGGCCCTCATATGTGGGAAGCAAACCGGGGCCCTCTGGCATCTCAAACCAGTTCTTAACCATCGTGCCACTCGGCAGGCTCTATATAAGTATTTTAAATCACTTTTCTGAGAAGATGACTGATACGTTGGGTTGAAATGAATTTTTTAAAAGCCTGAGAAAATATGTCATATTACCTTTGAATTTATTTTGTGTTTCTCCAGTTTCCATTCAGAAGTTATTCAGAAAAGGTTTAACGGAGTTTAACTGTGGGGATAAATCTGATGTTGTATTTGCTCTTGCAACTATAAATTTTGGGAGAAATTAATCAGTTTTGTGCATGATTTCTGTATAAAGCACAATTTATTTCTTGAAAAATACATGATCTCTTTGTATTACGAATGGGCTCTTTCCAACCATTCTATAATTTTATGCTTTTTTTTCTGTATAATTGTTAGGATTTTTTTCAGTTTTTAGTATTCAGTTTTACTTAGCATTTTGTTCAGTTTTTTAAATGTGTTTTTTTCAAAATTCTTTTAAATTTTTTGAGTGGTGTTTCATTTGATATAGCAATGCCTGATGTTACTATTAAAGAAAAAGAAGCTAATTTAGAGAAACTTAGTGAATGTGCACTTGTCTAAGTATGACAAATGTGTGCGGAATCCAGGCGTTATATTTTGTGTTATGTCATTCAAATCAAAATGAAGATAATTTTAAAATTATATTTTAAAGAAAATGAGCATACAAAGTGTAAGTAATTTTCATAAGAAATATGTCTTTAATATATTCTTAGTAGGCAGTGTCATTTATGATTAGACAAGTAATCTAATTCTAGGTGAAATATATAGAGAGCATTAGAGTGATGTCAGCAAAAATTGTGGAGTAAGGGTTTTTGAAATATTTCTCCTCCATAAAATACAGTGAGAACACTGGAAAACACGTAAGAATCAACTTTTCAGAACATTGGAAATAACTAAAATCTTAAGAGTCATCCATGGGTCATTTATTTTAAAAAAATAACCGAATGTTGTTAGAACGGCAAGCTTTGTTGTATTTTGAGGTGCACCATGTCCTTCCCTGCCGCTTCAGTGCTCAAGTAGCCTTGAAAAACCAAATGCCTGCCCTCCTGGGACAACCAGCAGTTGGGCAGGCACTGGAGGGGGCAGAGTGGGATACGCGATTTTTCAAAGACTTGATCCCAGAAAATGGTCTTTATTTAACCTTATAACTTCCTGGAACACGGCTCTTGTAAAGCTATCTTGATTTCATCTGACTCAGAGCTTTCCTAGTCCAAAAGCCTTTATTATACTAAGTGAAGAAGAATATGCTATTTTTCAGAACGTTTTCCCAAACTTCAGGCCTTAGACCTATGTAAGGCATTACCCCAAATCTAGGCCTAAGAATTGGGCAAGTACTTAGGAGAAACACTTACTCCTCCCTTGTAGTCATATACATATTCCATACACCTCTTAGAAACAGTCATTGCAACTATGATTCTTTCTTTATGCTTATAAGCTTCTAGACTTCTTATAGCTATCTCATATTGACCACTACACAGTGTTTCTAAATGTGGCTCCGTTCCTGGAGTATAAGAGAACGTCAATAAATATTTATTTAGAATAACTTATTTTATTGTGTTTTATTTATGAAACGGGGCCTACATTATGAAACACAGTTTTGAATACAGATGAAATAAGTGGTACTGAGAGTGGAGCTTGGCACAATGTTGGCACTCAGTAAACATCATTCCTTTGACCTCCTATTTCATTTTTATCCTCATAGTAAGAGACCCACCAGTCCCTCAGGTTTTTTGGTTTGTTTGTTTTTGTCTGTAAGCATATTTGTATGAATTCACTGTCAGAGTTTAAAGATTGGGTTATTTCATACAAAGTCTGAATTTCCAGCCTTTCTCTTTAGTTGGAAGGTTCAGAAAGCCCGAGTTAGCAGCCTTCTATGATCTCAAGAGCCCAAAGCTGAGTCATAGCTGCTTTTTAAGAGAGTAATCAATTTCTCCTGTTTGACTCAATTTCCACCCAATACTCTTATTTAAGTTGTAATGTTGGCATTTTTGTGGAGTCATTTTTTTTTTAATGTTGCACACGCATGAGATTTTCTTTTGTTTCAGGAGGGACTTTGTTGTTGTTTATAAGATTTTTATTAAAATATAGCT